ATGCTTTAAAAGTTCGAAGCGTTTTTATTAGGCATTATTACAAAATTTCTGTAAATACCTTTGTGTAACTATTTTTACTATTAATAATATTTTTTTAATTTAAATTAATATTTGTTGAGTTTTTTTGCAAAGCTTTTGAGACTTAAATGGAAGATTATTTTATTATTTTAATTTAATGAGTCTAATAATTTAATTAATCTAATAAGTCTACATTTATTTAAAATTAAAAATTAACGAAAGTAATTATTATTGTTTAAAACTTGTTAATTTAAAAATAATTAAAATTTTTTATTTTCTTGAAAAAATACATATTACCGGTACATTAACTTTGGCTACGGAATTTAATTCTTTCATCACACCTTCACAAATCCATTGCAATCAATATAGATTTTTATTAAATCTAGTGTTATTGTTATTATAATTTAAAAGAATATCGAATTGAATACTATAAACTTTTAATACAAAATATTTTTTTTATATTTATTATAATAAGTTATTAATTTACTCAGCATAATTTTGGGTAAAAAAAATTATCTAAAAATTTTTTAAAAGCTCTTTAATTTTGCACTCAGTTCACAAATTTTTTTATTCCACACGGCACCAAATTTTTTATTGATTAAAATAAATTAATTTGCACACGTTTCATTATTGTCCAAAAAGTCGAGAACTAAACTTTTATTCACTTTAAAATAAATCGCCAAAATAGTTAATACACTGAGAAGTGCCATACGCCATAGAGCACTGTATGGCTCTATGGCACTTGTTACTGATAAGTTGAAATAAATTCGAAACAAAGCTCTTAGAAACAAATATATCATAATTATTGTTTTTGTTCGGTTCTTATAGGTGAATTGTCAGACAATCTTGATTTATTTGCTTATCTTTGTGTATTCTAATTGTGAATTATTATTGTTAAATGTCTAAGCAGTTTGTTTACATAAAAAAATTATTTAAAAAAAAATATATTATAATCGTAGTAATTGCTAAAATTTTCCTTGAGCTGAAACAGATAACTTCATATAAAAAATAGATACAGATATTTTTAAAATAAATTTTAAATACAAATGTAAAACATTAAGGAACACATTAAGCAGTTTTGCGTTATATATATATATAATATATCTATATATATATCTATATATATATATGTATATATTTAAAATTGATTATTTTAATCATTTAAAAAGATAGTAGATAATTGTATCTAAACATTGATTTCTACTTTATGTTTCAGAGCTGCAAAAAACTATACAAAGAAATACAGGCAATGTGAAAGTATCTCATGTTATTAACATAAAATAATATGTTATGTTCTTTATATAAGTAATGAAACCTTAATCAGTCATGACATATAGAATTACAATAGATAGTACCTATATTATTATTTAGTTAGGATCTAAGTAGTAAGCAGATCAAAGCACCATAATTATAATAAATTTATTGGGTCATGAACACCTATAGAACTATGCAAAACAATGGCAATTTAAATAATAAATAATTTAAACAAATTTAATTATTAAAATTAAAAGTAATCAAAACTACATAACATACATGCGCTAAATATATCTATTTAATAAATAAAAAAAATTATTTTAACAATTTTATAGTATATATCTGTACACTAAACGATGAATGATTTGTAAACCATTATATTATATTGACTGTAGGGACTGAACTTAATTAATTTCCAAAACTTAAAATAAATTACTTTTAAAAAATAAATTAATTTTAATTCATACAATTAAAATATTTTTAAAGAAATATTTTCTTCTATAATATATATATATACATACATTTTGTCGTATCTATATATATAACATCTTATGACATTATTTGTCAATTAGGTTCAGTATTGCCAGAAAGAAATTCACTTAAATAAATTATAAATAAGTTCACTTAAGTAAATAAAAAATTTATAGTCAGTTTATCAATGTGCACTTAAGTATCGTTTTGACTTGTCACTTAAATGTCACTTAAAGTTTTACAAAATTTCTTATAATTAAATAATTCACATAAATTTTTATATTACAAAAACTATTATCATATAAAGACAGCATAAAACTCGTACTAAATTCAACTTAAGTGTAGATAGCAAAACATACTAAGAAAAGTTTAAAAAAGTACGAGTGTTAACTATTACCGAAACTCAAGCTTAAGAAGCATCTTAACACATTCAGTGATATCTCTAGCATAAGCATTGATCAGATCCTTGCCTTTATAAATGTCTCTGACTGGTTTTTAGCTTGCTCTTTTTTTTACTACCCAAGCCTACAACATATCTTATGTTACATATCTTGCTTGATTGAAGCATAATAATCGCCTATAATCACGATTAGTTGTTTTGAGTCCCTATGCTCCACTAGAAGAGAAAAATAGCAGTAAGTAAGTAAGTTTTGAGTAATCTCTCGAAAGGACTTCTAGTCTTGAACTTAATTTTTTCTAATAAAAATATAAATTCTTGTTAGAATAAGAATAAAAAATAGAGAGGTTTCGAACAGTAGTGAATTGCAACAACAAAATTTTTTTATTTATTTTTAATAAATTATTTTTCTTGGTAACCATCCATCTGTTTTGAGTATTACCAAATATCCATCGTCAGTGGCCTTGGAATTATTTCTTGTATTTAATTATTCATTAATATTTTTTTGAGACTGCAAGTACCAGGGATTGAGCTCGTGCCCTGCCAAAGTTGAAGCTCAGAGTGAGCATTCATTAGCCAACTGACACAAAGCCGTACTTGAAATGAAGTTTTATTAATTTGTTGTGAAAGTTTATTAACATAAAAATAATAATAATAAAAATTTAAATTCTTATAATAATATAAATAAGAAATAAAATTAATCACACAACCCAGCAATCGATTATTTCATTTAAGTGATTATCGTGTTTTATGTCTGATAACTGCGAATTTGTTATCGACACTTAAGTATGAGTACTTAAATCAAAAAGTATTTAATACTGATAATAAATGATATTTACTTAAACGAATTATAAAATACTTAATTAAATTGCAAATAAAATCGAATTTATTATAAATACCAACTGGTTTCATAGGAACAATCAGTGTTCAAAACTACTTCAGTTGAAAACAATACAAAACTTCATCCTTACAAAATGTGTAAGCAACTCAAAATTTTCTTGAAATTTTAATTTCTTGATTTCCGATTTCCTTTAAAATTTTTTATTTATTAAATTTTCCAAAAATCACAGCTCGTTTCCAAATTGTGAGCGCTTTGGCTTTGCTATTCATCTGTGGAGCTACTGCCGTGGACGTGAATAACATATGTGGTTTGGTCCGGAATGGCATGAAAATTGCTACCGGCGAATTGTGTAATCAATATTATTCCTGTTCCGATGGAGTAGCCACTTTAATGAACTGCTCCAATAGTTATTATTTCGATAAGGATATGCAGATGTGTATGCCACCATCCAAAGTAAATTGCACCAATGATGCTGGCAACACTGACGAAACAATCAATTTGTGTACTTACATAATGAATGGCATGCATTTCGGTAGTCCTGTCTCTTGCAGCGATTGGAATATTTGTAAAAGCAATATCATGTCTACTGGTAGTTGCTCTTCTGGGCTCTACTATAATGTGCACAATGGCAAATGTGAAGATCCTGCTGATGTTTCCTGCTCACAGGTTAGTTAATTGTTGTATTTCATGTACTTATGCTGAATTGTATGTATTTAAGGTCACTAATGGTATAAAAATTTAAAGTGGAAGATTTTTATTTAAGCGGTTATGATATCGTCCACGAACTCAGTTCCTTGTTAATTCGTCCATTTTATTTTGAATTGTTTTAAAGATAAAATTTTTAATAAATAATTAATAATAAAGAGCAATAAAAAGAAATTTTGGTTCTTTTATTTAAGAAGTTTATAACACTTGGTGGATCAAATTCCTAGAGTTTTTTACCAAGAACACAATACACAACTGTAGCTTTACTTGATATTGCAAAATCTTCAAATTGATATTCTGCAAATTTGAAACAGTGTTGTTTACTTAGTTTTTTGCGTTTGGTCTCTATTTCGAATTAGTATTCCAATTATTACTTGCTCGTTCACATCTTGTATTTATAAGCCCTAACTCATAGGAAAGAAATTATAATATTCTCAAAGTGATTAGAGTAAGAACCACCCGATACTGTTTCGAGTTTCCATGCTAGTAAGTGAGCTTCACTTGCGATACCTGACCGGTGATATAAATTTGGTAACACGAGGGTCAGGACTGTCTAGAACAATTGTGGTTGGCCCTCATAAGAGTATAGTGGCTGTAGTTGAAGCCAAAGTTACACGGATAATATGAAAGCATTCATTTACTTCCATTTGATGTAGTGCTGCTTTTAATTACCGGATAATGTATCCATAGAACAACATTCATGTTAGATAAACCTCGTTAACCCCAAGGAGAATATTATATCTAAACATATAACTAACTTATAGCATGAGCATGGCACAGATGGATGGAGAATATGTAGAGAGAGTGGAATCATTGCGCAAGCACGGGCGATAGGTTAGTAATATACTGACTTTATCACCAGAGCCACAAGAACAACGGTTGTGGAGTGGTATGATGGGGGCATCAGAGTGCCGCTCATAGAAGTATAGACCATGTAAGTAGACATTGAAGTTTTCAATTAAATCTGGAAACTAAAACCTGAAAATTTATAAAAACTTTATTATTCTCTATAACATTATCCTTTCCCTACTGAATCTATTTCCTCCGCATCGGGTCTAAGGAGCTACTTTTGTAGACCTACTACTACTACATTTAAAATAAGCCAAGTCTGAATATTCTGGAATTCTTATTTTCTTCCTCTTACATATATTCTTATATTAATAACTTTCTTAGGGTAAATAAATGAGTGCTTATTCTACAACTTTCAGTTCATATATAGTTGCTTCTAATTGTAATTCTAATATAACCTTTACTTATATTTCATGAGGCTTTATAAATATTCTGCTTGTTGCTTATGAACGAGAACTCCATAAACCATGAGACAAGCCGTATTTTTTTAATTTTTATAGTAACCACAAAAGAAATGTGTAAAATTTCTTATTGTGTATTTATTATAATTTTAGTAAGCAGTTTTGGGACTTTCGAAAATCCTTTAGGAGTCCCATTTGCCCATTCGCCCATTCATTCATTTATGTATTCTATTTTATAACAGTTCATTTTATTATTTAGCAGTGACTTTGCCATCATCGTCAGTAGCTTGCAGAACGTTGCACTCAACGACAACTGCGTGCATTTATTCCTTATATCCTTTATATGTGCATTTCGGATGCTCCATATTGCTGCACATTTTATTCAAAACGCGAACACTGCTCACATGGATGCCGGCAACATCAAAAAAAGACAGGCAGAGAGAATTGCATTGCATTTACACAAACGTGTTAGCAGGATATTTCGTACACTCCATACGAATGAAAATACTTATGAATTCAAATTTGGTGTCCTTTTCGGCATATCAATATAAGCGGTTGTCTTAAGGTTTGTCTGCAATTGCAATTGCAACATTTCACTGCAACAGGATTTCTTTGATTTCAATGTTTTCTTTTATGTTTCTGCTTCGTGTACTTTTGATACACTTTTTTCTGTATTTTTTATTCCTTTCTTTCTATTTATAATCATCACAGTCAGAAACGTCCTCGTACTCGTCCTCGTCTTCGTCATCTTCAGCACTACCGTCAAACCAGAACTCAATGCAACGCTTCATGAGTAAACGGCTTGTGCTTCATTTGTGAGAAGCACAACGCGGTTTAAGAAAGGATGTGACACTAGCATAAAGAAGGATATAAAGTGGAAAAGTTGAATTGGACATAAATGAAAATTTACTACAGTTTCCGGAACATATTTTTATAATTTTTTCATGCTTTCTTTTTTGCAAATATTTTTTCTGCATGTTTCTAGTATTTTGTTTGGTTACAGAATATGTTCGAAAGTGTTACTACATATTCTGCTCCGTTTGCTCTGGTGACCTCGACGACAACGAGGATGATGACGACGACGACGATGACGACGATGATTTCGACTACTGCTTTGCGGTGAATTTATGCGAATATATTTGCGATGGGTTTTCACTTTTTTTTCCACTTCATCTTTTTTATTCTGCTGTGAACCGGTTGAATGTAGTTTTGGTACTGGAATATGATTTTCCTTTTAAGGATTTTGTTTTTGTTGTTTTCCTCGTCCTCTATAACTAAAATAGTACCACTATAACTAAAGGGCTAAATTGTAATATTATTTATTTTTTTGAATTGACTTGAGTTTAGTCGAGTTGAGCTGAGCTGAGCTGCACTGAACTGAACCGAGCTGGAGTTGAGTTAGATGAGAAAAGCATACAAATTGAATTTGTAAATTTAAGAGGTGGAATCATGTTTGAATAATGCGCTTACTTAAGTGTAAAATAAAAATGCAAATGAACTCAAAGTTTTGTAAATTTTATGAGAAAGCACTTTAAATGAATAAAAAGTTCAAATTAAACATTATTACTATTTATTTATATTACTTAAGAAAACTTTGTAAAACTCTAGTAACTGCAAGTGAAAACTTGATTCACTTGTTTTAAATAATATTTTGTACGCCTGAATATGAACTTAATTAGAAAAGTTATTAAAAATCAAAAGTTAATTTAGTTTATTTAAGATCAAGTCTATAACTCCCTCAACTACACATACAACAAACTCCGAAACACAAATCAAGTACGATATTGGTTTGATTGTCTAAAATGGGAGTTAAGTTATGTTTTAAATTTGGCAGATTCCAAATTCAAAGTTTGATATTTTGTATATATAATTCATATATATGCAAAATATATGTCCTTCTGAGTACAGCATAGAGTCTTTGTTCTCATTGACTTATATGATATGATTTTTTTGCTTCATTTTTTAAAAGTTAATGAATTCAATGAACTGATTTGTTTAGCTTCTTTGAAAGTGGGAAACAACCATTTAATAACTATTCCAACTAAATAGAGCATAGACCCTTTGTTATCGTTTTATGTATTTCTTTTTTTAAAGAAGAAGACAGCAAGGTCGTCCAAGTGACCTTTTTGTAACCGTAACGCGACCTGTTAATTCTGCAAAGAACTCTGTGAACGGGCAATACCTTTCAATAACAATTCTATTTGAGACATCCTTCATATTATCCTTGCTCTCTCATTACTATAGTCATCATATTTGATTCTATTCTTCATTTGTACTAAGAACTTTACATACGTCGTATAAATTTATGTCGTTATCAGTCGTAGCGATCTCTCCAAGTATAGCACTTAACTATACATCATTGCGTTGTATCTCCTACACTAAATGAATACGTGATGTACATTCTTAAGAAGGTCGTTCCTCCAATAAGTACAGTAAGAATCGTGGTCATGTCCGAATATGTAGGTATGACTTGAATCACTTATATACACTGTTTCACTCTAAGTCATGGTAATGCAGATTGAACTTCTATGCTGGTCAGATAATATTATTATTTGATCTTCTGAGAGGTGCCTCCTTCTAGTCTAAATATCTTTCTGCATTTCTTTGAAATCAATAGTGTTGTTTACACGAGTTCATAGATAGATACTAGATATTCCCTGAGACCAAAAATGCAACGATGCACTATTTCATTTTAAGCCATGTCATTGCATGTTAAACTAAAGTACCTGTAAAGCATTATGACTTACTAATCTTCTGAGAGTGTGCAACATCCAGTTTTAAGACCTCTTCAAATTTCTTCTGAATCAATAGTGTCGTTTATACGAGCCTAGGTATTCCAGAGATGCACTATTTTATTTCAAGACATGTCGGTGCAGGCTGAACTACTAATAATAATAACTGCTCTTCCGATAGTGTGCTCCATCCAATATTAATTTACTTTTAAAATTCTTGTGAACCAATAGTGTTGCTTGTACATACCCACAGATCGATACTAGATATGACCACTAAATATGCAAGTTTTAGTGTAGACATTTCAAATAAATTGAATTTTTAATTGGACTGCTGTCACACTTCTCCATGCTTCACTCTTTAAAAAAAAAGAATTGGTTGGTTTGATAGTAGTAGGATATTTGGCTATAGTTCCATATCGTTTTAAGTTGATTAAAAGCACCTCCAGCCCTATTAATTCTGAAAACAACGTCTTCCTTTGCTATGCTTTTGTTTGTTACAACAGATTCAAAAGGTTTTATTGAGTAAATAGATTCTAGTATCTCGGGTTCTATTCGATTGAGTTATCCCATAAGTTAAGTTCAGTAAGCATTTGTGTCACAAAAGTCTTCAATGTTGATGCTATGTTTAGTAAGCATTAATGTGATGCAACTCGGTATAGTTTTAAATAAAACTATTTCTAAAGCGTGTTTTCTTACACTAACAGTAAACATGTTTAACTTGTAATTTAAGTACTTCAACATGTTTGTTAGAATTAAACATGTTTTAATAGTATTTTATGCAACTAGTATTACGGCTTTAAAAAAGTTAAAATATGTGAAATCTTATTTTAACTTGGAGAACATTTATTTCTCATATTTTAGAAGTGTAGTTAATAATTTAAATTCAATTAAAATTCAACCCAATTAATTCAATCTAACTTCCATTAATTAATCTAATTAAACTTAAATTGAAATTAAATTTAATTTTAATTAATTAAACAGATAAAATTTAATCCAGCTCAATTAAATTTAATTTTCTAATGTCGTGAATTTGAAGGTTTAAGGTGTCTGTGTATTACCAATTATTTAAAAAAAATAGTATAAGCAAATTCCTTGAATTTCATTGACATTTAATAATTAAG